GGATATGGCGACAGTCGATAAGTATTTCAAAGACAGTGATGGGGAGTATGCCCGTAGTACTAGTTCTGTTAAATAACGTTTTTTTCTGTCTTAAAGGCGTCTTTTACTTGCTGTTCAGTTCCACAGTTTTGGGGATAAAAGACAGCTGTCACTATCCATAGCTAAGACTTACACTTCTACTCGTCATACTCTCCCTTTTCATGGCCATGATCAGAATCCTTAATTATTCTTAAGAGCATCTTTACATTTGGAACAGCAATATTATGTCTCTGTTGAAGCTGATTACAAAACTTGAATTACATGCAGATCTTCCATTCAAAAAACATGAAGGTGAGACTTGGTAGCAACAATTCTAGCACAATTTTCTGATTAGGTTTTGTATTACATGGTGAATGCAACTCTGATTTATTAGAAATAATTCTGCCACAAATCTTGCCTGCCAACATGAGAGCTGTATAGCAATCTTCAGTAGTGTAAATAAAGTCTGTGATTACTTCATTTATTCTTAATGACTTAGCAGTACTTTGTAATTTGGTGCTTGCTGTTAAGCTGCCTGCTCTATTGTATAGGTGATAAACATTTTTCCCTCCAGTATATTGTTGTATATCTAAATACTCAGCGGGACAAATTAATTGCCAGCTTTATGTATCTTTTTGAAATACAGTAAGACCAGATGGGTAATATATTTGGGTTTTTTAGCAGATTTGATGCCCTGATAATTTGTCGTTGTCTGTTGTGCAGTATGCAGGTACTCAGAATAACCAAAATTATTCTAGCTGATGTAATGAAGAGCAATAATTGAGACTTGTGCTGTGTCCTAACTGAAGTTTCCATTTTATTCTGTATTCTGTTTTTCTGTACTAAGTGTGTCTGTAAGGAATGCCTTCATTTACCTCATGCTTTCTTGAATTACTTTCTCTGTAAAACATTTTGAGTTATTTCTCTTCTGTATGGGTGACTTGGTGAGAGACTTGATAAGATTCACATCTTCCAAGTCCACTATAATTTGTTGCTTTTGTCAGTACTATTTGATTTTCTTCATAGGTGAGGAATATAAGGAATATCCAGAGCTTTCAGAATTTTTTTTATAGCTTCACACAGAATTTCTCTTGAATTACTTGTAGTTATTATTCCCATATTTAATAGGGAAATGTATGTGAATATCCGTAAGCATGTAACATGACAAATGAATGGCTAAGTTAATCAGCAAAGTAATTATAAAGGGTACATTTATAGCAATGTAATTACTGTAGCAATAGTCAAAGCTTTTTATTATGTTTATTTCAGCATGACAATTTTAATTGAGTAAAAGGACTTGAAAGAGCAGAACTTGAAGAATGCTGGGCTGGTCCTTATCTTGAAGAACTTCCAAGTAGATGTGTGATCCAGTAAAAGCTTTTTTTTTTTTTAAAAAAAAAAAGACTAAAGGAAAGGCATTTTTAGTTTGTTTTGTAAATACATGATGCGATCATGTTTTTATCAACTGTTGCAGTTAGGTAAAGTTTTACCTATGTCTTAATGTATTGTTTGTATAACTGAATCCTGGAGTGTTTATTCTTGACAGTATCATCTTGTAAACTTGTCTGTGTATAAACAGCATAGAGGTGGAATAACTTTTTAAATTGTTTTTCCTTTTAGCTTCCAGAAATGCTTCATGGAGATGGAGATAATGAAGAGCATGGTTATTGTCCCGTGGGGCAGTTTGTTCTTCAGAATCTAGGCCTGCTTCTTGGATTTGCCATCATGCTGGTGATTGCCCTCTATGAAGACAAAATTGTGCTTGACATCCAGTTTTGACCTAATTCTGGTAATCACTGTGGTTACAATAATCTTACTGTATGGCTTTGAGTCTGCACTGTTTCACTGTATGCACGTTGCTCAGAGGAAAAGCAGTGGCTTGCACTACTTACACAAGTACAGTATATTCATTTCTCTGTAGATTAACTTTTGCTTTTCTTATAATTCAAATCAGATGAGATTACCCAAGGCGTCTTCTAAACTCAGGTGATCAACAATTGGGAAATACTAAATATGAGAAATAAATGCCAAGTTCAGTGCACTACATAGGACGTGCTGCTGGCTTAAGAAAGAAAAAGTGCAGTGAATTACTCACTTGGGAAAATTCCATTTCATTAGTACATTTGAATAGAACCCAGAAAATGTTACAGCTGAAATTCATACCTCTGCAAGGAATCTGAGTAAGCTTTTAGTGCCACATAAGTCTTAAATAGCACATGTATATATATCTATATAAGTGTATAGATATATATATAGAGAGAGAGATATGTAGATACGCATGCATATATATATATGTATGTGTGTGTGTGTGTGTATATCAATTCTATGCTGATTCTTCTGCGTAGTGGTGACTTGAAGTATTGAATGTTACAACAGCACATGACTGGAAATGACTGTGCTGGTTTAAATTTTAAAAATGAAACCCAAAACCTAAACACTGTTTAAAATTCTTAGAGTATGCATTAAGCTGCACTACGTCATTGTAAACTTAACGTGTAAGAAGGCAGGCTGTTGTAATACATGCTGCAAAGTGCTATGTTCTGTCAAGGATCAGTTTGACAATGTTTTCCTGACTAAGATTAATTTGATGTTTGTTCCGTGGTATTAGTAGGAAAATGCAAAATGCAGTAGAATTACTGTTAGCTTGGGAAAATCCCTGATGTTGGAGTTATTGAGCTATTTCTGGTTCTTTCTTTCAGATGCTAAACATGCATGGTATGCCACTTGCAGCATAAACTACTGAAGAATTGTGGCTGTGAATTTGTGCAAACTCTTTTAACAGAGAATCCATATGGGAATTTCTCCGTTTTTTGGGTTTTTTTTTTTACAATTGTTTTGGAATGTTTTCTCCTCTTCATCTTAAAACAATCCGAAGTGCAAGATGCTAGTTACTGAACCTGGGCACAAAGGTTAAATTATGCTCTGTGTACTGGTAGTTTATTTACAATACTGTAATATCGGATCGAAGTATTTTCCTACAATGCCTTGATATCAGACATTGTAGCACCAGCCATTTCTGGCAGTAGAGAGTATGGAAGAATATGTCTACTTCCAGCACAAAGGAGTTCATTTCTATGATATTTTTTTACAATTTTGGTATTTAAATTAGATTATTAAAAAGCAGATGTGATAGATCTGTGGTATGTGTAATGTGGAAGGATAGACTTAAAATTTGGGCCTTAACTTGCTGGGATCAGCTGTCCTAGATTGGAGTGTGCTGATATGCTTATATTGACAGACATGAGTTAGTTCTTGTACCAATCTCCTTAAAAAAAATTGTGAGTTTGTGAAGAGTGCAAGTTGATTCTGTAGTACCAGTCCTAAGCATGGTAGTAGCCTTTTTTAAAACACACGGTTGGTCTTGTTTTATACGTATGCCAGATAAAAGCTGTATTTTGACTATGTGCCGTAAGTTTTGTTTTGGTCTGCTTGGTGCCAGTGTAGCTGCTAAAAACACTGATCCTAACGCCTTTAATCAGAGCCAGTTGGTATCATCTTCATTCCATTTCAAGTTAATGTGTGTTTCCTGTGGCCCTTTACGTTATGAAGCTTCACTGGTCAATTTAGTTTTTACTGAGAGCAGCTCATGTATTTTAAAGATATCAGTTGGTTCTTGCCAGTATTTCTTCCTAATGCAGTATCAAGAAACAGTATTAAGGGTCCATTTCAAAAAAGGGCACAGTTTCTTCAGTGAAGAAGCCAAAAGCCCAGGGTTCGGGCAGGCAGCTATTTGATGCTCTGAACTCAGGTTTTCTTTTTTCCTCTTTAAACAAGTTTACTGTTGGACCCTAATTAGCAAACACACTGTTGTTAGCTTCAGATTGCTGAATTTCTGCAGTGTAAGATCCTGGGTGGCATTTTTTCATAGTGCCGACATTAGGTCACTGAGTACTACTTTCAAAGAGACTTAACTCGCCAGATACCTTCTGAGGATCTAAGTTTAAACAACCTCTGTTTCTGATGTATTAAACTGACCCTTAATTTTCTTTTTCTGTTAATTCTGTTGAGTAGAAGGGGGTCATTATGTGGTTAAACTGATATTTTGTCAAATAATTTTTTAAAGTTTATTTCTTTTAATTCTTTTCAAATGAAGATTTCTATATTTCAAGTAGTATATTTACTTTTGTATTATAGTTGGAATATGGTTATAGCTTAATACACTTCCTCTATAGAAAAATAGTTAACTTCCTTCCAAGATCATCTTCAGGCAAGGGAAAAACATGGTCCTTGAAGGTAGGTACTGTATTTTTCATTAAAGATGGGTTGTTTCCTTTTATTTTCTAGTATTTATTACAAGTTATGAAGAGCAGTGTAACAGCTGTGACTTCTTCTATATGTTTCTACCAGTATTGAATTCCAAATGATTCTAATGTACACTTCTGAATCATGTTACAGACAATCTGAATTCCACTACATTTCTACTTGGCTTCAACATTCCATTCTGCTTGAATCTAGAGTCTCATTTAACTTGTATTTGTTGGAGGACATAAATGTTACTTGTGTATTACAATGCTGTCACTGTGTGACATCCCATATGAATTTTGGTGTAGATCACATTGCACTCAATCCGCTGTGATTATGCTTAGAAAATATTGTAGTTGCTAGATGCAGTGTGATTCTTTTTTTAAATTTCTTTTTTGTTCTTTCCCCTCCCGTTAACAATTGAGTCTATGGTTTAAAATGTGTAATGTATGTTTAATTATGGTCCTATAAGATAACTTGCTGAGCTATCAGTCTTTTTGTTATAACTAAATAATTTTTTAAAATTTTATAAAGCTGGAAATGATCAAATGCTATTTTGTTCATTGTCAACAGTGTTGTGTTCATTTTATGTATGTTCCTTATAAATAAGGAGCCTTCAGAAAATAAAATTATTCAAAGAGCAAATATTTTGTTGGCTTTTATAAGGTTTTATTGTGCAACATTTTACTTTAGTGTTTTGTTTCCAATCTCATGAAAGGCACAAATGCAACATTGTAAACACATGCATTTTGATGCCTCTCTTTGAGTGGCATTTCAGGACTGACATGCATCCCTTATATGTGATCTGGAAACTGCACCTACCTCCAGAAATTGTGGCAGGTTTATGAGTTAAGCTGACATAGTAATGCCACACCCCGCCTGATCCAGTGTTCTTGCGGTTTGTCTGAAGGGAGAGTCATTGCGATGACAAAGTTGGTGGAATGGCCTGTAGTTGACAGGATCCCTCTTCTGTCGCTGGTCTTGTACACTGGGGCCAGGTAACTCGGTCGCTGTGGAATGTCTGCTCGCTTACACGGCTTAAGCCATATCTGCAGTAAAGAAGAAAATAATCCTTTTCATCTCAGTTAAAAAAACCAAACAAACAAACAAAAAAAAAAAACCCACACCACTAGGGAAACAGTCTTGGCTTGGCCAAAGCATTTTGATGTTGGTTTTTTGTTTTGTTTGTTTTTTAACAGATAGCCCTGAAGACCCGTTTCCTCTTTCTTAGCAGATTGCTTCCTCTCCCAAATACGCAACACCAAATTTCCTGTCACTGTCATTATTAGCAGAAGATTCTCAGCTCCTCTCAGACATTTTCTATTTCAACACAAAACATTTCAATGTTTTTTTTTTTAAGAATTAATCTGTTACTTCCCTCAAGACTACAGTATTTGTCAATATATAATACTATAAAATGTCACCAAACAAAAGATACTGACCACAGGTACTGGATCATAGAGGATTTTTGGATGAGATTCTCCTAGCTTCTTAGCTTCCCTGTTCCAGCGTGCTCCATCCAAGAACAATCCCTGAATGTAGACCCCTGAATCGGTTGAAAAAGATACCATATTATGCAAAAACTGAAAATGTCTTCTAGTTGAGAGCAGCAGCTAGTGCTGTTTTGCTAACTGTCCGTTGATTGTGTGGGACTTAGTCAATTTTGTGTGTTCCAAATTATGATCAAACAACTTTGAGTATAACACAGTCATACTGTATTACAATTTACTATTGTTACAGGTCTCTAAAGATTATAAAGTTACAATGTCTAGTGACATCATACTGGATCTAGCCTTTTTGAGTGACAGAGGTTAAAAACCATTCCAAAGTACAGGACACTATTTTTACAGTTGTCATTTTATTATAAAGCTTTCTGCATGTACTGCATATTGTCAGCTTTAATGTTTCCAAAGTTGGAGATTTGATCGTATAAACAGTCTTTCATAGTTAGTCTTCATTTTGTTTCATAGCTTATGTTTCAAATTGCTACTTGCTTATTCCTTTCTAAAATGGCTCGCTAAAGGAGTAAAGTTAAAAAAAATGTTTACATGTTTAAAAAACATATGTATCTTTATTTTGACATGTCATCATGTCATGGTGTGGTGACATGACAAAATGACAGCTGTCATTCTATCAGCTCTCCAGAAGAAAATAATAAATTACAGGAACATCTGTTTTTCATTAAACTTGCACCTTCTTGTAGACTGAAAACTGTAACTCCTAAAACAAAAAAATAATCCTGCCCCAACAGAAAATGACTTGAAACAGACTGGATGCGGCCCTCCCAGGCTACCTGCCAAGCCCATCTTTTTACACAACTTCCAGTCAAACTGATCCTCAAGAAAAGTATTAAAAAGAGTATTAAGAACAGCACAGTTTAATCTGTCCTTTTCTCTGAGGAAGGGCAAGCTAAAAAACATATCTGCAACTGGAACCTAAGGTAAGGAATATATAATAAAGTGGTTTGATGAAGAATAGGGCTTTTCCCCTCTTAGAGCAGTCCCCTATTGCACACTGTGATCATATCCATGAGAAATATTTCTAAGGATAGTTAAAGTAGCATACCCAACTTCTCTACCAAATGTTTGGGTTTTCCTTGGCTTAGGAAAATACGCATCTTCAGACATATATACAGTGGAGTGAAATAAAGGAAAAAACGGAGAATTAGATATCACGAAAGTTTGATCTGTTTTGGGAAGTTTGGGGTAATGAGTGTCCTCTGTTGGTGTTATTTTATATCTGCATACTAATGCAGGAGGTGAACTAACCTCAGCAGTTTTTAAATGGTATTTGCCTCTTTACTTGTGCATCTCACAGGGAGCAGTGCAGTTGTCCATATTTTCCAGACAAATTCACTAACTTAATCACATAACTCTGAGTCTGCAAATAAATGTTAACTTCTAAATACATCAGCAAAGGCAGATAACTGTGTTGTGCATTTACTTACCATCTTCAGGGGCAATTTCATATTCCTTATCTTCCAGCACTTCATAGTCAAATTCTAGTAGGTCTATCGGAATGGTGTATTTTCTGGCATAGTTCTGCTGGGCACCTGTTAAGAACGCTTGAGTGAAGAAGAATCCTGAAATCCAGAAGACTGGTGGGGGTCCATTTTCATACCACAGCTGCAGCAGCAAAAGAGAGAGGAGGAGAAAAGAAAAAAAGTGTCTTTAGTAAAGCAAGTGTCTTCCAGAATAACAGCAGAAGTAATTTCTCCCTTTGTGAATCCAAGATGGTCTTTTTCTTTTCTGAAAGAGTGGAATTTGGATGGCTGCCATGTCTTTCAACAGCTTGTTTAAAATGTCACTAGCTTCTATTTAAAAACAAAACAAAACAAAAACAAAACAAACAAACAAAAATAAAACCAAACACCACCCACCCAAACAAAACACCCAACAACAACAACAACCCACCCTCAAACAAAAGCACAGACAGGAAAACCTCCAACGCTGTTGCCTGGAAATACTTCGCTTATTTGAACAACTTAGTCTGAATAAGTCTGTTAAACATTTATCATTCTTGTAAGTTCACCAAATTAAATTATCCTTTTCTCCCTTGTTATTGAAGGCTCTTCAGCATTCACCTTTGTTTCTGTGTGCAAATGACAGATTTTTGGCAGGCTGTTTTCTCTTTGAAAGGGTCATATTTCTCCCTGCCAGGGCCAAAGCCACATGTTGTAAGTGTAGAGACCAAGTTGAAGATGAGGAGGGATGGTTTCCTCATGAGGAGACTATGTGGCCTAATTAAACTTCTGTTGATTTGGGGGGTGGGAAGGGATGGGGCTTGTTTGTTTGTTTTTAATAGCGTACACTGTGGAGACCTCTGTATAAAAATGTTTTTTAAAAATGCCAAAATTAATTGGATTTGGTTGTAATATATGAGGTCTGTTGCAACGGTGAATATTTACTGCACGCAAGAAGACATTTTTCTGATTGTTGCAAACATCCGTTTTGAATAATGTCTGAAAAAATTTTGCTACAATCATCCACTGCAGAGAATTACAGTGAAGACAACTACACTAGTTGTCTCTACTAGTAAGTAGTTTTCCTCCCAATAAATAAAAAAATTATCCTCATACTAGTGGCAGTTTTCTGTTTGTACAAATTTAATTTCTGTCCTGGATTCTGTTCAAGAAATGGCACTTCTGTTGTTTACACATACTGCTGCCAGGCTTGCTACAGATGACAGTGGAAGTTATGGAGGTGTGTTGACCTGGTGATGTGTGTCCAAAATCATAAAACTGAGGTTCTCTGAAAATGCAGCTTTTCTGAATATCCTTCTCGACCTGAAACTGGATGCTGCTTTTGATTTTTTTAATATTTTTTTTTTAATGCACTCATGATTTTTGTTCCTAGATCTTTTGGGACCTGTTCTTATAACAGGTGTGGAGTAGGCAACCTGCTATGAGATTGGTTTTCTTCAGATGATTGAGATTACTAAACCACAGAATGGTGCTGAGAGTCTGGATATTACTAATTTAAAGTCAGTTTTTGGAATCTGCACTCTTACAGGTGAAGGAACCTCACTGATTCTCCCTAACTCATCTGGCTTTCTTCTCCAGCCATCTACTGAAAGCTTGGTATTTGACTTTAATGTAAGATTGTGTTAAAATATTTAACTAATTTAAATTTGCTTGCTGGAAAATAACGGTATTTTCCTAAGTTCTATTTCAAGTCATTACTACCACCAGATCTACATGCAGTTTGAGAGGCCCTTAGTAAATTCACTTCAGCCGGACGGTGCTGTCAGACAGCATTACTGACACAGTCTCTTCATGAGGTGTAGGGTATGTGGCAAAATGGAGTGCCTCAGGAGATGCTGTGATGAGCAAACGGCTCTACTAAACAGATGCACAAATGAATTGAACTTTATCTGCCAATTATTCAGTGGAAGTAATTTGTGTGTGTGTGTGTGCACGTTCACTTGTGGAGATGTCACCTGACATCAATAGACAAAAATAATGAGCGGCATTGAACAAATCTGTGTAAATGGGGTGTGCTCACCTCTAAGAACTTCAGTCTGCTAAGGAAGTCAATCACATAGCTGCCCAGAGGCTTGAGGCTTGGGTAAGACTTAAGCATCCATAGTCCTGGAATTCTTCCTTTCAGAATGCTGTTTGCTACTTCTTCAAGTTCAGCAGACATCACTACTAGCCCCTAAAAGAAATTTCGGAAAGGAAGATGTCAAAATGCCTAACAGCCTTGCTTTACCAATTAAAAATCAATGTGGCATTCTGTCCAACAGATGTTGCAAACTTCTAGCTAAGTCAGACAGGAGCCACACTGAAAACACGAATAATGGACATAGTGGATTTCATAAAAAGTTATTCCAGTCTGCTGTCTGATCCAGGATTTAGTCACCAGATTGGTCATGGAAAAGGTCCATAGCCTCTTTCGGAAAAAACTGCCCATACTGCTAAAACTCTCCCTTGCCATCCTTCCTCAGAAACATGGTCTTTCCAGAGCAGTTCTGAGTTTTACTAACTGTAAATGCTCTTTTTTTATAATTATTTAATGTTTCCTCAAAACTCTGCAACACTGCTGCAAGTGCCTTATTCTAAAGTGGCAAACTTTTCAGCTTGTAGTTTGGCTTTAACTGGGAGAGGAGTGGTGTTTGTGGGGTTTTTTTGTTTGGTGTTTTTTTTTGTTGTTTATTTGTTTGTTTTAACTGCCTCACCAGCCTTAAGCTATAATAGGATTAATAAAAAATACCCACACTGACTTTTTCCTGCTTTTCTCTGTATTTTACACAGCTGTAGCTTTTGATTCCTACTGAGAACATGGACTTTAGACTGTGATATTTTAACTGGAATCCTCACTGGCAGTAATTGGCTGTTCGAGGTGTTGAGGAGATCTCCTTTTATCTGTAAGAAACTGTATGAGGTGCTTCAGTCTTTCATGCCAGTGAGGCTGAAAAACAGATCTGAACCTAGTTACTGCTTGCTTTATTAACTAGCAAATCTGCAGTTAAAAACCTTCTGTTTTGGTTTCTCTACAGTAGGCACAATAGTACTTTTATATTCCATTGTCCTCCTATCAGTTTTAAGATACAGATCAATAAGTCAGTTTGGAATCCTGATTCTTTAAAGTGTTTGACTGACTCACCTGAATCACACTTCAGGGTCAGTTCTCTAAGGTTATCTTCAGCTCACCTTTATTGCTTTCTGGATGTTAACACAGGAGTCCCGTATTGTCTGCAATAACTTGTTATAGCGTCCCATCTCCTGGACAAGCACAGTATTCATGCTTTGAGTATAAGTGGTTGGATATCTTCTCATTGCTGCTTCAATGTCAAAATTTGGAGGAAGCTTACTCAGGATGTCACCTGTGACTTCTTGAACAACTTCATTGGTGGATTTTGCACCACCTCCAAATGCCCGAGACTAGAGAGAGCCAAAAATCTGAATTTATTTTGAGAAAAAGGAGGAGGACTTAGGATAGTGAATAGTTAAAATGCAGGAAAATTGAGCTGTTACAAAGGCATAATTTAAAAGATGACTACACTTCCGACACTCTTCCCCTGCGATTGAAATTAATTTGTTTCAGAATTTCTTGTATTATCAACATAAGTTATTAGCACAGAACTAACAAAATCTGGTTTCCTACAGATTTGTGTCCTTCTAAATTTTTTTCCTGAAATTCTGCTTTCACTGTAAACCAATCTTTCTCCTCCCATCTCTGATGTACCCATCAGCACCACTGGCTGATGCCAAGTTCTGTCTCACTGTCCCTCCCTGTCCATGAAACTTACAGGAACTATAGTATCCCTAGATAGATTGTACCTGGCTTACAAACTGGACAAGTTGAAAATTGTTAAAGGCTGGGGGGAATAGAGATACAGAAACTGACTGTACAATCACAGAAGCTATGTTTCCTTAGGAAGACAGACAGGGAAAATACAAAACCAAAAAAGCCTTAAAACATTCTTGGGTGGAACAGTAATTTCACCAGAATGGAGATAAAACACAAGCAGGTACAGTTAAAACTGAAAAAAAAAAAACCTAAACATTCTCACATGGAGATAGAGGAGAAAGTTATGGTAAGATGGTGTGTGACTTTTACTCTTTACATACCTGTGTAAGAAGAATGTTATCAAATAACAGTTGCGTTTCTGACTGATCCTTGGTAATATCAGCATTTGCATTCATTCCAAATATCTCTGGGGAAGGATTCAGTGGAAGTGTCTTTGTATATTCAATATAGCTTTGGTACTGAAAAAAGAGGGGAAAAAATACTCTAGGCTTAAAAGGAGATGCAGAAACAGCCCCTGACAGGCTGCAAGCTGTGTCTCAAAACCACTACAAACTCCCTAGAATACAGTGTGTAAACTAAGATGTAAAACGAAATACAGGGGCTGCCTGTTCCTCACAAATTCTTTTGTCCATCATCTTGCCCTGAAATCAGGACTGGCTTTACTTAAATAATTTCTGACAAAATTTCTGACAACTGTTGGAAATTCTCTTACAAAATAAGATACCTAGTGCAAAGGGCTGTGGCCCCTTTCTGGGCCCACTGCTTGCCAAGTGTCTAAAGGTATTTTGCTGATGTGTTAACGTAACTCTCCTGTGTGAGAAGTGAGCTGATTACAATGTCCTTTCTACCTCCAGCAGATACGATCTTCTGCCTATTTTATAATGCTTGTCACTTCAGCAGGCTGGGTTTCTCCCTCGTTGTCCCCTAAGTGTGCTGACTTGCGCAGAGCAAAGTCATTTAGTTGGTGGTAGTTGGGTTGTTTTGGCTTTTTTACATAATTTCTGTCAGTGAAACAAGTTCTAATAGAATGTGAGAGTAAGCCACAAAAGCGAACAGTGACAGCAATAAGCACTGAGGCATGTATCAATGTGAGCAAAGATAGGTCTATTTTTTTTAAAAAATAAGCTGTTGGTAATTCCATTGTTCTGGGATACTTACATCTCCTTCAGGAGGAGCAAAATAAATGCCACTTGCATCAAATTTATAATCCGTATTTGTAATTATTTCTGAGGAAAAGAACATGTTTAGAACACTGCGGAGCGTACGCCGATCCCAGTCATCAGTGACTCTGCCACCATAATTACACTCTCCGGTCATATAGCGAAGAGCATCATACGGCACCTCCTGAAAAAAGACAGACAATGATCCGAACTGCAGCCTAGCACTTCTCTAGACTGGAATGTTGGTATCGTTGTACTTTATTTGGAATTCATCCAGAATTCTCCCTGGAAAGTTTAAAAGCTGTTATTTACTTCTAGTTCATGCTTGTACCACTGTCTCCTGATCTCCAAATACTTTAATAACCATCAAGTTATCCAGCATTGCTTCTTTTGAAGAATAAGAGCACAAAAAAATTTATGTAGTAATGCAGCTGGAACTGCCTGAGTACAATTTTAGGAAAAACGTTTCCAAAATTATCTCTACTTGTTTGGCTATACGTACTTCTAAAATAAATGTATGCTGTCACAGTGCTATTTTTTAGAAAATAAAATATATTTAAAGTCTTGAGGTTGGGAGAATATGGACTCCTCTTAGGTGCATAAAAGACACAAAGTATGAGTGATAAGAGAGAAATTCTTTACAGGGCAAGAGTGGGTGATACGCTGCAAATCAGCTTGGATAAAGCAAATCAGTTGAAAAAAGCACCAAGAATTCTGTTTACTACATAGGTAAAAAAAAACGCTTCCTTCCCTACTAGGCATTACATTTGTTCATAAGCTTTGGTCATATAAGGGGACGACATCCCTCTCAGACTCCTCCCTTCTCTCTCCTGCAGGAAGAGAAACACATACCTTCATGAAGTTGCTTTCTCAGGCTGAATCACAATTTACCTATTAACCACATTGATAACCAAAAACACTTCAGGCTGACAGTGGTTTGAAAGTAACACCCCCTTCCTGTCCCCAGCCATAGATTTCACAGATTCTGGCTATAGTGGGTTGCTTAGGAAGCTGGGAGCTAAAGAAGTGTCATGTATTGCTAGCAAATTCCAGAGAGGCTTTAATGAAACACTGCCTAACTCTGCAAACAGGGAAGGAGACAAGTGTTCTAGTATTTTACAGCTTGCAGTAACATTGCCACGAGGTGAATCCACAGTTCCTGCCTAGACACAGAATTAAGATTGCAATGAATAAGGCAACTATATGGAAGAAAGCTGCTCTGTTTTTGCATGGCAGAACTTCTAAATTGTAATTTGAAAGTTTCCCACATCAGTTATATACCGATCATAGTACGCGAACCACTTCAAATGAATGTGGTTAGCACTACTGCAAGTAGACCTTGGCTTCTAATTCACTGCCCCCACTAAACTGTTGCTGTGGCAGCACTCAGCCTGCATTAGTACACATACTAATGGTCCTAGAAAGTGCAAGCAAGGACCAGTGACCACTGTGAGAGGTTGCCGTACCTCATACTGATCGAGGAAGATGTGCAGCTGCTGCACACTGATGCGCAGGTCGGTCTCATTGAATTCGTACGGAATGTTCCAACCCAATGGCCCAAAATTCCGCCTTTCTTGCACCAGCGCATGGAAGAAGCAGAGGCCATACAGCAATGTCTTGAACTCAGCCTTAAAAAGCAAATGCAACACCATTAATACTTCACGGATGGTTTAAACTCTTTCATTTTTTTTCTTCTGCCCTGCACAGCTGTGCTGTCTTTGAGTCACTCTGCTCTGGTTACACACTGTTTATGAGTCAGAGATAGCTTTTACTTGACATACAAAGGCCTTTAGCAGAAAGTCATCAAATTGTCATAAGCATCAATTCTAAATATTCTCTTAAACCAGTGTGAAGCCTCAAAGCAATTTAATTTTTAAAGCTATATATCCATGTACATGTAATTAATATACATGACACAACCAACTATGTGTATGAGACCATGCACCTATGATTTTTTTTTTTACACCATTGTATTATAAAACAGTGTTCACACAATATTTCTGCATTTTTTTCCCTCATTATTGAGACAGATTTCAGGCCATTAAAGAAAAACTTTTGTTTCATTTTGTTTTTCAAATGAAACCATTTAGCCAAGTACATGATTTAGAAGAACTACCTTAATTACAGAAAAATAATGTAAAATATGCTTGGAAACAGGCATCTAATTATGAAAAGAGTGGTTAAGATTGTTCCCAGGTTTTTGTTGTTTTGGGTTTTTTTTAAACTAGAGAGCTGTATTATTAATGCCATACCACAAAAATCTCAATTTAAGAAGTAGGAGAATAGCAATAAACTAAAAATTAAACTTACTTCACTATTGCCAGTAAGGAAAACCAGTTTCATTGTACTGAAAGACAACTATTTAATTTGGGAGTTTTTTTTTTTTTTCCCTCACAGAATCACAGAATATTAGAGATTGGAAGGGACCTCGAAAGATCATCCAGTCCAATCCCCCTGCCGGAGCAGGACACCTAGATCACATCACCCAGGAACGCATCCAGGCGGGCTCTGAATGTCTCCAGAGAAGGAGACTCCACAACCTCTCTGGGCAGCCTGTTCCAGTGCTCTGTCACCCTCACTGTGAAGAAGTTTTTTCTCATATTCAAGTGGAACCTCCTATGTTCCAGCTTGAACCCATTGCCCCTTGTCCTATCACTGGATGTCCCCGAGAAGAGCCTGGCTCCATCCTCCTGACACTCACCCTTTACATATTTATAAACATTGATTAGGTCACCCCTCAGTCTCCTCTTTTCCAGGCTAAAGAGACCCAGCTCCCTCAGCCTTTCCTCATAAGGGAGATGCTCCATTCCCTTCATCATCTTTGTGGCTCTGCGCTGGACTCTCTCCAGCAGTTCCCTGTCCCTCTTGAACTGAGGGGCCCAGAACTGGACACAATATTCCAGATGCAGTCATACACAGTCATCATGGTCTGGTTTAACTGATTTACAAAGTTACAGTACAACATTACTAACGGGTTTTCTGCAGCTGTTGAAAAAGTCAGGATCTGATATTGGATCCATCAGGTACGAACGAATTATATTGGCCCGTAAGCCTTTTGGTGCTTCACTAGTCATCTTCACTCCATTCTGAAGTACAGACACCGGGAATGTGGCAGATGGGTAACTGGTCAGCCAAATTCGGAAATCTGGATGTGTTGTATCAGGGTTTAGTTCCTGTAACAAACACATATAAAACCAGTCATTTGGAAGAGACAATAGATTAATACACACCTCAACTGCTATTATTAAAGCTTTTTTATATATATATATGAACAAAACCAAGTCCAGGCTCTGTACCACAAGAGCAATGTGTATATTTACTAT